GGGGGGGGGGGGGCGGCGGGGGAGAAGGAGGTTCACCTCTTCCCCCCCGTCCTCGTTCTGCCCCCCCCTTCCTCATCCTCTCCTTCTCCTCGTCGCCCTCTTCTCATGCGTCTCCCCTTCGACTTCGTCCTGCTGTTCTTCCTCCTATCACTCCCCTCCTCACTCGTCTCCTCTACAATACGACTATCGATATCTCTGTCGATCTTACTGTCGATCTCACTTTCATTATCGATCTCATTATTGATCTCACTATTGGTTTCACTATCGATCCCACTATCGATCTCACTATCGCTCTCACTATCGATCTCAATATTGATCTCACTATCGATCTCACGGGACACCACGGGGCACCGCGGGACACACCACGTGACACCACGGGACACCACGGGACACCAGCGGGACACCAGCGGGACACCGCGGCGGGACACCGCGACCCATCGACACACCACCAGGACACCATCGGGACACCAATCGAGACACCGAGGGACACCACGGGACACCACGGGACACCACCGGATGATCGAGACACCCCCGGCATCCGCCCGCCACGCGGCCGGGGGGAGGGGGGATTTCTTGCTTCGTCGCGCCCTAGCCAGAGGAGGGTTCATTCTTCTCGCCCGCCCACGCAGCTCCGCCTCGCCCGCACGCAAAAAAACGAAACCGAAACCGAAACTGATTTCCCCGCGGGCGGCTCTCGGTTCCAATTCGATCTCACCCCTTCAGCTCCGATGCTCACGGGTAAACACTCTCAGCGAGACGTGCCAGGAAATGAGATACAGTCAACTCGCATAGGAAGGACGGGCAACCTTCCCAAGGGCACCCCTGCACCCTTTCCTTTCCGGCCCAGCCTTGGCCACTTGCGTTGGCCGCGCCCGGCTCGAGAAGTTTCGAAAGGGGCGTCCAAGGCCCTTGCATCCCTCTCGCGCCTCCTTACCATACGGTTAAGTCGGGCGTGTCCCTCTACAGGGGGAATCTTCAAGAATAGTCGAGAAATAGTGTGGGAACGATGTTTTGACTATTTTTGAGCATTTGGGGGGTATGTTTGCGTATCTGTTTTTTTTTGTCGCCCAAAATCCCCCTGTAGGGGGGGCACGCCCGACGTAACTATACGGGCCGACCGTGCACATGCACCGAGCAATTCCTCGCAGGAGGCGTCCAACACGCTGTACGCCCTGGCGCTGCTGCGCCAGAGGTGCGAGGCTCCCGGCCCCCTCGAATTGAGTCGGGCCTGTCCCTTTACAGGGGGCATATTCAAACATCGCCAAAGAACTAGTCTGCGGACTATTTTTTGGCGGATCTTTGTCGGCATTTTGGGGGGCATTTTTGGGGGTATTTTTGATCTTTCGCTCAAAACCCCTCTGTAGGGGGACGTGCCCGACCTAACCCTCAGACTGGCCCCGAGATCCGGGCGTTGCACTTTTTCACACTCGGCGTTTTCGCCCGGCTTCGGGCCCTCGGACCATCGCGGATCGATCCGGCTCGACACGTGGCGTTCCAAAGATGGCCCTGTCCAAGGAGTTGTCATCGCTTCCGCCGCGGAAGGCGGCGGAAGGCCGGCGGAAGTAATGCGAGGCCGCCTCCGCCGGCGGAAGCCAGTTTCCTCGCAGAAGCGCCATAAACATAGATTTTCGGAGGCGCCGCCAGGGGGCCCAGCGCAGATCCAGGAAATCCGCGCGGAGCGCTGAAAGTCTATGATTATGCAGTTGTGTCTTCTTCTGGTCCGGGCGGACGCGGCGGACCATCACGGATCGATCCTGCTCGGCACATGATGCAGAATGACGGAGTCGTGCTGTCTACGATGCCGTGTTTTTCTTCGTGGCGTCAGATCCCAGGGGGTGTCCGAGCAGGTGGGGTCGGAGGGTCACCCCGCATCGCCGACGCATCGGCGAGGTGGCTCGGCGTGGAGCCCGATCTTCCCATGCCGACGTCGCCAGACCCCCGACGTAATGATTGTTTCGTTTTTCAGGAGGGAACAAAACCACACAGACAATGAATAGTCGATTCCCAAGAAAATGTGCGAAAATATGGGAAATGCGGGGAAGACAAAAACCCAGACAATATTGGAAATTATGGGGAATCCTTCTCTTTGTATGTATTTGTTTGTGTGTCTCAGGGCCCCTACAATTACGTCGTCCCCCAGAGGTCCCGACCCTGTCCCCATGACCGGCTCTGCATCCTGAGTCGGGCCTGGTGAGGGCCCCTGGAGGCCGAGAATTAGGAAAAGCCTCCCGCCATGATTTTTGTCGCCACTCGAAGGGGAGGATAAGGGAGGAGGAGGGAGGATAAGGGAGGAGGAGGAGGAGGAGGAGGAGGAGGAGGAGGAGGAGGAGGAGGAGGAGGAGGGAGGAGGAGGAGGATAAGGGGAGGAGGAGGAGGAGGAGGGAGGAGGAGGAGGAGGAGGAGGGGTCTGGGTCGCCGATGCATCTGCGATGCGGTGCGGACATCGGGCCCCACCTCCGCGGCGCGCCCCGGGGGGGGAAGCCAGAGAGGGGGCAGGGCCTCCGAGCAGGCGGCGTTGGCCTCGGAGCGCAGCCGCCCCGTGGCCTCGGATGGCCTCGGAGAGGGCTCACGGAGACTTCTCCGAGGACGCGAGGGCCTCTGAGAGCCCTGACCTTCCAGGGAGCTATGTTTTAGCACTGGAGGCCTACAAACCTAAAAAACTCAACGAGAAACAGCCTAAGACCAAGACGTAGAATAGCCCCGGGATGAGGTTTTTAGGTCGGGTGCTATTTTTTGTTGGCCCTCCTGGAAGGTCAGGGGAGGGGGCAGGGCCTCCGAGAAGGCGGCGTTGGCCTCGGAGAGCAGCCGCCCTGTGGCCTCGGAGAGGGCTCACGGAGAGACTTCTCCGAGGGCGCGAGGGCCTCTGGGAAGCCCCGCCGCCTCACGAGTTTTCGGGGTCGTCCCTCGGCGCCTCTCCGGCGGCCGTTCCGGACGATCCAGGCCCCTCCGGAGCGCTCCCGGCGAGGTGCAGCTGCCGGAAGGCACCCCGCGAGGCTGGAGCACCGACGAGAACCACCGAGAGCACCCGGATGCCTCGCCTCGCGGCTCGAAGACGTCCAAGCCTCGACCACCTCCGATCCTCGAGGCGCAGCTGATTTCAGCCACCCTGGGGACCGGGACCTGCGGAAGCGTCAGAAGCCCCCCCCCCCCCACACCCCCGACGTCATGATGTTTTGCCTTTCGTCGCTCAAGCGGCTCTTTTATCTCCTCCTCTTCCGCCTCCTCCTCCTCCTCCTCCTCCTCCTGCCCCTCCTCCTCCCCCTCCTCCTCCCCATGGCGCGACCCCCAGAGCTCTCGACCCCCTCCTGCGTCGTTTTTCGGCAGTCCCGAGGCCAGGGAGGGCCCCCGGAGGCCGAAGATGGCGACGAACCTCCCGTCGTGCCGTTACCATGACTCGAGGGGGGCAGGGTTTTTTAGGGGAGCAAAAAGAAAAGTCACATAAACAAAAACCCTCGATCCAAAAACCCTGACCCCCTCGATACAAAAAAACGTATACAAAAACCGTATACAAAAACCGTATACAAAAAAGTAGGGGAGCACAAAAAGTCACGTAAACATAAAAACTCGGAGTTCCGCGCGGATTTCTCGGATCGGCGTTGGGGCCCCCCGGCGACGCCTCCGGCGCCGCCCCTGGCGCGCTCCGCGCGCCAGGGAGGGGGTCCAGCGCCGATCCGAGACATCCGCGCGGACCTCCGAGGTTTAATGTTTATGTGACTTGTTGTTCCCCTATTTTTTTGTATACGGTTTTGTATACGTTTTTTTTTGTATCGAGAGGGTCAGGGTTTTTATATCGAGTTTTTTTTTCTATTTCTGTTGCATCGAGGGGGTCCGGGTTTTTGTGTACGGCCCCGAGGCCTGGGAAGGGCCCCCCAGAGGCCGAGAATGGTGCAAAAAACCTTCCGCGTCGTGCTTGCTGCGCAGCGCGAGGGGGTCTGTGGGCCCCAGCCCCCGAGGCCGCTCTCCCCCCGGGGCGCGCCGGTGGCCATCGAGGCTCGGGCCCCCCTTGCGTGAAGTCGGGCGTGTCCCTCTACAGGAAGATTCAAAAGTACACCTTAGGTGATGCTTAAGAAAACTCAAGTTTTCGACCAGAGTCTCGATTATTCTTAATGTTTCAATGTAGGTCCCAAGATTTTAATAGAAATGTTGGGTTTTAATTCAAGTTCTGAGACTATGAATTTCTTAACCCATGATTTCTTAAGCATTTCGCTGGGTGTAGGCAAAACATCATCTGTGTTGCAGTTGCAGTTGCAGTTGTAGTTGTTGTTTGCAGTTGGCAGTTGTTGCAGTTGTTGCAGTTGTAGCAACAAGTCGCAGTTGTTCGTTTTGTTGCAGTTGCAGTTGTTCAAGAAGTCCGTTCTTGTTGCAGTTGTTTTGACGATGTTTGAACATGTGTTTCGCACGTCTTATATTTCTCGTTCAACGTCCGCCTGTTGGGGGGGCATGCCCGACCTGCATAACCTTGGCATCGCTCGGACGTGTGCAATTTTCCTTCGGCGAGGACCATCGAGGAGCATCCTTGATCATTTGGCGTAAAAACCAACGCACGAAGCCGAAAAAAATCAGGAGGGAAAGAAACACACAGACACAATTAATCGACGATCCCCAGGAAAATATGGGAAAATATGGGAAGTGGGGGGGGAGACAAAAACCCAGAAAATATGCGAAAATATGGGGAAGTTTTTTATTTGTGTGTATTTATTTGTGTGTCCCAGGGCCCCTTCAAAAAAGCACAGGAAATGGACGTCCGAGCGATGGCCAGTAGCCCTTGCGGGAGCTCCGCCTCTGGAGGCGGCGCTGGCGGGCGTGTGCGGCCGGGCCCAGGGCGCGCTGCCGGAGTTCAGCCCGCAGGGCCTGGCCAACGCGGCGTACGCCCTCGGGCTCCTCTCGGGCGGGTGGTATGATGGTAGCCAAGACTCAGAGCCCCGAATCATCAGGGGTAACTCGGGTCAGGGATAACTCGGGTTCGTTTTTCGGGAATCCAAACCCGAGTTACCCCGGACCCGAGTTACCCCGGATAACTCGGGCGTCCAGAGCCCCGAATCATCAGGGGTAACTCGGGTCAGGGCTAACTCGGGTTCCTTTCTCGGGAAACCAAACCCGAGTTACCCCGGACCCGAGTTACCCCGGATAACTCGGGCGCCCAAAAGACCTCTTCGCGCTGCGAAAAAAAACAAAAAAAACTCGACGGGAGGTTTTTCGCCATCTGCGGCCTCCGGGGGCCCTTCCCCCGCTTCGGGGCCGTCAGGAAACGATTCGGGAGGAGGTACCCGTGCTGGGGAATGGGTCGAGAACTTTTTAGGGGTCGACGTCATGAAAACATCATGACATCGGGGGTCTGGGTACGGTAGGTGCGGGCGGCGTTGGCGCGCCGGCGACGCTGGCGAACCTTCAGATCCTTATACGCTGCAATTTTGCCACACCGGGCGTTTTCGCTCACTTTCGGCCCCAGGACCTTCACAGATTGATCCAGCTCGTAATATGACGCAGAAAGGTGGGGTCTGGGGCTTTGGTCGTGATTTTGTTGCAATGTTGCAATTGTTTTGCAACGTCGGGTCTCAGAGAAGGCTTTCAAGGTTGATTTCTGCGACGCGGAAGCACCGAGGGACACTGTGACGCCACTGGGCCCGACGGAGTCCAGCCTTGAACAATCAAGGCCACGATCGATTCCAGGATGAACGATCAAGGCGGTGCCAAGAGCCTTTGCGCGCGCCGACGCCGCACCCCCTCGGGTCATGACAAAAATCATGACGGAAGGCTTTCCGTTATTTTCTACCTCCGGGGGCATTCACCGACCCTCGGGCCCGTCGAAAGACGACTCGGGATAAGAAACCCGTCCCAGGGAATGGCTCGAGCAATCTTGGGATCGACGTCAAGTAATCATGGCGTCGGGGGTCTGAGAATGGGGGGTGACCTACAGGGGGGATGAAGAGCAGGGCCCTGAAGGGGCCCTTCTCCTCGGTGTTCGATCGTGGACCCTTTGTCAACCGCAACTATCCAGCTTTCGCGCCGAAGACCGCCAGAAAAACGCCAGGGACCCGCGAAGACCGCCAGAGTGCCGCCAGAAGACCGCCGAAGACCGCCCCGGGCTGGTGGGCAACAAGGGGCCCATCGTCGAATACAGGCGGACCGAGGCATAAGACCGAGATCGGCTCGGGGAGGCTACTCCAGAATGTTCCTTGTGCTTTGGGAATGTTCCTGTGCATCCTCGGCAGGGGATGCCCTCGGATGCTGCGCGTGTGTTGGCCAGCGGAAACTCTCGTGTTGACCCAGGTCCGACTGCAACTGTTCTTCGCCCGCCCCCGGGCAGGTCACCCCCCGTGTACCGCCCGCCCGATCCTCGAGTACGGGCCCCCGCCGCTCCTCGGGGCCCTGTGCTCCCACCTGCCGTCGAGGCTGGCGGCCTTCAACGAGCAGGAGTCGAGCAGGGGATCGACGGCAGAACTGATCCACACTCTGGTCTCTGGTCGTTGGAAGTACGTATCGACGACGCCTGCGGCGAATCGCCGCCGCCCCCCTGCCCTGTGGAATCGCCCATGTGGCCGAGCGTTGTGACAGGAGCTCTGCCAAGTTATCGGACCATGTGTCCCCCTACCGTTGTGGAAACCCTTCGGGGGACACTTTGGGGGGGATGGCCGGGAAGATCAGGAGAGGAGGAGGAGGAGGAGGAGGAGGATAAGGAGAAGGAAGAGGGGGTTGACACGCTGGTCGTTGAACGTAGGTATCGAAGACGCCTACGGCGAATCACCGCCGCCCCCTGCCTTTTTGGAAGCGCCTATGTGGCCGAACGTTGAGGCCAGACCTGCCAAGCTATCGGACCACGTGTTCCCCGAATCGGTTTGGAAAGCCTTCGGGGAACACGTGGGCATCTTGAAGGTCATCTTGGCCGTCTTGGAGGCCTCTTGGGCAAGCTTTGGGCGATCTTTGGGGCTTTTTGGGCCGTCTCGGGCCAGCTTCGAGCCAACTTCGGCCATCTTGGTGGGTTCCTGGCACGTCTGAAGCCGTCGGAAGCCGTTTGGGGGGCCTCTATGGGCCGACTTGGGGCCCGCTTGGAATGCTCCAGGGCCGTCTTGGAGGCCATCTTGGGCGTCTGGGAGGCCATCTTGGGCGTGTTGGAGGCCTCTTGGGCCCTCTTGGGGCCCTCTAGGGGCCATCTTGGAGGCCACTTGGGCCATCATGGGGCTCTCTTGGGGGCCTCTTGGGCGATCTTGGGGGCTTCTTGGGCCGTCTTGAGCCGTCGGAGAGCCGAAAAGGCGCAAATGCCAAAATCCTTCAAAAACCAAGGGAAAATCAATGATTTTGGCCTCTTCGGACTCTCCTGGAGGACCTCTTGGAGGCCTCTTGGGCCGTCTGGGAGGCCTCTGGGGGGCCTCTTGGGCCGTCTTGGGCCGTCTTGGACTCTCTTGGGCCGTTTTGGAGGCCGTCTTGGACCATCTCGGGCGGACTTGGAGGCCATCTTGGGCCATCTTCGCGATTTTTTGAGGATGTCCCGAGCGAAACGGCCGTTTTTGGGCATTGACAGAGATTTTGGGAAATTTGCGGGTGGCCGGCGGGACGGGCCGAAGCCCATTGGGGAGTTCTTTTAGAAAAAGAACCAAAACCAAAACCTGAATCATCCAGCACGCCGTGCACCCCTGCAAGCAGGGGGCGGCGGATCGAAGACGCCTACGGCGAATCACCGCCGCCCCCTGCCCTTTCGGAAGCGCCGATGCGGCCGACTGCTGTGGCCAGAGGTCTGCCAAGTTATTGGGCCATATGTTCCCCGAATCGGTCTTTACAGCCTTCGGGGAACACGTGGGGGAGGACGGGGAGGAGAGGAGAGATAGGAAGGGGGGGAATGGAGGAGGAGGTCTCTTGAGTGCCTTTTTGGCTACTCTGGGCCGTCTTGGGTGCATCTTGGAGCCATCTTACCCGTCTTGGAGGCCATTTTGGCCGTCTTGGAGGCATCTTGGAGGCCATCTTGGGCCATCTTGGCCGTCTTGGAGGCCATCTTGGGCGTCTTGGAGGCCTCTTGGGCCGTCTTGAGGCCCTCTTGGGGCCTTCTTGGGGGCCTCTTGGGCCGTCATGGGGCCATCTTGGAGGCCTCTTGGGTGCTGTTGGGGCGATGTTGGGGACCTCATGGGCCGTCTGGGGCCGTCGGAGAGCTGAAAAGAAGAACATGCCAAAATCCTTCAAAAACCTTAGGAAAATCAATGATTTTAACCTATTCGGGCCTTCCTGGAGGGCGTCTTGGAGGGCTCTTGGGCCGTCTTGGAGGCCTTTTGCCGGCCTTTTGGGCCGTCTTAGACCATCTTGAGGCCATCTTGGACCGTCTTGGGTGCATCTTGGAGCCATCTTACCCGTCTTGGAGGCCATCTTGGCCGTCTTGGAGGCATCTTGGAGGCCATCTTGGGCCATCTTGGCCGTCTTGGAGGCCATCTTGGGCGTCTTGGAGGCCTCTTGGGCCGTCTTGAGGCCCTCTTGGGGCCTTCTTGGGGGCCTCTTGGGCCGTCATGGGGCCATCTTGGAGGCCTCTTGGGTGCTGTTGGGGCGATGTTGGGGACCTCTTGGGCCGTCTTGGGCCGTCGGAGAGCTGAAAAGAAGAACATGCCACAATCCTTGAAAAACCTAGGGAAAATCAATGATTTTAACCTATTCGGGCCTTCCTGGAGGGCGTCTTGGAGAGCTCTTGGGCCGTCTTGGAGGCCTTATGCGGGCCTTTTTGGGCCGTCTTAGACCATCTTGAGGCCATCTTGGGCCGTCTTGGGTGCATCTTGGAGCCATCTTACCCGTCTTGGAGGCCATCTTGGCCGTCTTGGAAGCATCTTGGAGGCCATCTTGGGCCATCTTGGCCGTCTTGGAGGCCATCTTGGGCCAAGTTGGGGCAACAAAGGCATTGACAGATGGATTTTCGGAAACTTGCGGGTGGCCGGCGGGACGGGCCGAAGCCCACTGGGGAGTTCTTTTAGAAAAAGAACCAAAACCAAAACCTGAAACATCCAGCACGCCGTGCACCCCTGTGGCAAGACCACAGGGGGCGGCGGATCGAAGACGCCTACGGCGAATCACCGCCGCCCCCTGCCTTTGTGGAAGCGCCTATGTGGCCGAACGTTGAGGCCAGACCTGCCAAGCCATCGGACCATGTGTTCCCCGAATCGGTTTGGAAAGCCTTCGGGGAACACGTGGGCGTCTTGATGGTCATCGTCGCCGTCTTGGAGGCCTCTTGGGCGATCTTTCGGCGATCTTTGGGGGCTCTTGGGCCGTCTCGGGCCGTCGGAAGGCCGAAAAAAGGGAAATGCCCAAATCCATCAAAAACCTTGGGAAAATCAGTGATTTTGGCATCTTTTGGCCTTCCTGGAGGCCCTCTTGGGGGCCTCTTGGGCCCTTTTGGGCCAGCTTCGAGCCAACTTCGGCCATCTTGGTGGGTTCCTGGCACGTCTGACGCCGTCGGGAGCCGTTTTGGGGGCCTTTCTGGGCCAACGGGGGACCCTCTTGGGGCGCTCCAGGGCCGTCTTGGAGGCCATCTTGGGCGTCTTGGAGGCCATCTTGGGCGTGTTGGAGGCCTCTTGGGCCGTCTTGGGGCCCTCTAGGGGCCATCTTGGAGGCCACTTGGGCCATCAGGGGGCTCTCTTGGGGGCCTCTTGGGCGATCTTGGGGGCTTCTTGGGCCGTCTTGAGCCGTCGGAGAGCCGAAAAGGCGCAAATGCCAAAATCCTTCAAAAACCAATGGAAAATCAATGATTTTGGCCTCTTCGGACTCTCCTGGAGGACCTCTTGGAGGCCTCTTGGGCCGTCTGGGAGGCCTCTGGGGGGCCTCTTGGGCCGTCTTGGGCCGTCTTGGACTCTCTTGGGCCGTTTTGGAGGCCGTCTTGGACCATCTCGGGCGGTTTTGGAGGCCATCTTGGGCCATCTTCGCGATTTTTTGAGGACGTCCCGAGCGAAACGGCCGGTTTTTGGAGGATTTTTTCCGGTCGTTGAGCACGTTTGGGGATTTTCCGGGTGGCCGGCGGGTTCTGCCGGAGCCCACTGGGGAGTTCTTTTGGAAAAAGAACCAAAACCAAAACCTGACAGCTCATCCAGCACGCCGTGCACCCCTGCAAGCAGGGGGCGGCGGATCTAGTGGCCTTCGGCCCATCCCGCCACCGTGCCTGGGCTGTGGGTACAGGGCCTATGGGATGTTCGTTGGGATCTCGCGGGAGGCCTCTCGGGGGCCTCTTGGAGGCAGTTTGGACGCCTCTCGGGAGCCGTTTCGAGGCCTCTTGGGGCTTCGCTTGCTCCTCTTGGGGGCCTCTTGGGGCCTCTTGGGGGGGCGGAAGGCTCGGATTCTCGGTTCGTATCCTCTCCTGGGACTTTGTTGGTGCCGTCTTGGGGCCATCTTGGGCCGTTGTTTGCACTTCTGGGGCCGTCTTGGAGGCCTCTTGGGCTGTTCTAGGGCCCTCTTGGAGGCCTCTTGGGTCTGCTTCGGGCGGTCTTGGGCGCCTTAGGGCCGTCTGGGGTCGTCGGACAGCCGAAAGGCGAGAACGCCAACATCCTCCAACAACCAAAGGGAAATCAATGCTTTTGGCCTCTTGGGACCCTCGGGGAGGGGAGGTGCTGTCGGAGGACTCTGGGGCCGTCTCGAAGGTGTCTGGGGCCGTCTCGAGGCTGTTGATAGCGTCTTCGAGCTATGTTTCGGCGGGTTGGGGCTCTCTTGGACCGTTTTGGACGGTCACAGCGTCCAGAGGTTCCGCAGGAAGCACCCCAGAAATCACAGGAGCCAGCCCGGGAAACCCCAGGACGGCCCAAGACGGCCTGGGAAACGATTGGTCCAGGCCTTTGAAGACTTGCAATTCTGGCCGCGGCAGCCTCCACTTCTCAGTGCTGCATGACGCTTCAGGCACGGTTGCGGATTTTTAGATTCCCAGATCCCAATCTACTTCAAGCGCCTTCCTCCTTCAAGAATCGATGTGCTTTTGCTGCGTTCGACTCCTCTGAGAGGGCCTGAGTCCAATCTACGTCCTCCGCATTCCTATGTCATGCGTTTACCTACTTCTTGCGACCGGCGTGTACCCGAATATTGTGTTTGTTATCCGCCGAATCTGCGAGATAAAGTTCTCAGCATGCACCGAAGATCGACGGGATATTCGACGTGTGTTGCGCAGATCCGATGGAAAACGACACTCTGGGGGTATATCAATTCTGCAGTCGATCCCCTACTCGAAGGAGGTCTCCAACACGGTCTACGGCCTTGCGCGGCTCCGCTTCAGGCCACCCTTGGGTCCGACGCCGCGAGAGTATCCCAGACATGTTCGCGTCGTGAACAAGACTCGGGCCGTTGTTTGGTTGTCTTGCCGCCTTGGGCCTGGCCTCATGGGGGCCCTTACTGGCCCGTGGGCCCGTCAACAAAGCGACTCAGGATGAAACGCGGGTCCCAGTGACAGGGTCAGGATTTCTTGGAAGCCTGAACTTGGGTTGCCGAGGGACCCAACCATATGCAGCTGCGAGTGCCGCGATGGAGATGAGACGAAGGAGGGGGGCGCGTGAACTCCGACTAGCTCTCGTGCACCTCTGGAACCTTCGGTGGAGCTCCTTCTGTGGCTACAGACCGTGAGAGGGGTGTGCCGAAATATGTGGCGGGAGCGCATGTACATTGCGCCTCTGGGACCTTCGGTGGAGCTCCCTATGGGGCCACGAACCGTGTGCGGGGTGTGCCGAAATGTGTGTCGGGGACACATGTAAATTGTTCCACGGGGGCCTTCGGTGGAGCTCTTAATGGGGCCACGAGCCTTGTGACGGATGTGCCGACATGGATGTGAGGGATGTGCCGACATGGATGGCACGGACGCACGGGATGATGATGATGATGATGATGATGATGATGATGATGATGATGATGATGATGATGATGATGATGATGATGATGACGATGATGATGATGATGATGATGATGATGATGATGATGATGATGATGATGATGACGACGATGATGGTGATGGTGGGGACGATGATAATGATGATTGTGATGATGGTGACGTTGATGATGATGATGTTGATGATGATGCTGATGCTGATGCTGATGATGATGAGAATGGGTATGAGGATGAGGATGAGGATGAGGATGAGGATGAGGATGGGGATGCGGATGAGGATGAGGATGAGCAGGATGAGGATGAGGATGTTGAAGAGGATGAGGACGAGGATGAGGATGAGGATGGAGGATGGAGGATGGAGGGAGGTGTGGGAGGAGGCGGAAGAGGAGGAGGAGGAGGAGGAGGAGAGGAAGGAAGGAATGAAGGAAGGAACGCGGGGCGCTGTCTCTTCAAAACGAGGTCCCAACACCACAGGATGGTTGGGAAATATCAGGACCTCGCATGTCTGGGATGCACATATCTGCCCTGATTCTCCGCCTTCGTGATCCTTTCGAGGGACAATGAACTTCCTAAACCTACAACGTTCGAACGTTCGCGCTGATGTCTCGGATCTGCGCTAGACCCCTTCCCTGGCAACCGCGCGGAGTTCCGAAAGTTTTATGTTCATGCAGGCTACTTTCCATCGAAACAATCATTGAATCAGCCACCTGTTGGTCGGAAGGTGTGGAAAGTGGAGAGTCAGGGTGAGATCCGACGTCACACGCAAGCTGCAATCATCGTAGAAGATAATTCAACCGGAGCCCTAGGCCCAATTTGTCTGCGCCATTTTTCGAGACAGATCTATCCGTGAGGCTCCCGTGGCCCGGAACTGGGCGAACACGTTTGGTGTGAAAAATATGCAGTGCCTGGATTTGATTGATGTTTTTCCATCATGGGTTGGCCCCGAGAAGGCCGGACCCATTCTTCAGGGCCAGTTTGTCATGTTGAGTTGGTTTGTAACGTACCCGAGGCCCCGAGAGGCCCCCCAGATGCCGAAAACCACCAAAATCCTTCGTCTTGGTTGTTTCAATGCGTTGGGAGCGTTAAGTCGAAGAAGAAACAATACCTGCGTGAACATCATCCCTCTGAGTTCCACGCGGGCTTCTTGGATCGGCGCTGGCCCCCCCGGCCGCGCCTCCAGCGCCACCCCTGGCGCGCTCCGCGCGCCAGGGATGCGAGTCCAGCGCCGATCCCAGAAATCTGCGCGGACCTACAAGAAATCATGTCTGTGCCATGCTGTGTCCCGTTATCGGCGGCGAGCAGGGGGGGGAAGTGAGAAGGAGAAGGCTTGCTCTGAAGGCGGCGTGACTTCTCAGAGGCCCCCGCGTTTCCTGAGCAGTGTTCTGTGTCTTCGGGGAGGGCTTACAAAGAAACTCCTCGGAAGGCCAGGGGACTTTGGAGCATTCTGAGCAGGCCCGCCCCTTCTCACTTACCCCTCTGGGCTCGCTGCCGAGAATAGGAATGCATCCCCAACTCTTGCCACAGTAACGAATAAGGGTCACATTCGGTGTCCCGCCCGACCGCACGACTAGATACCCGTCCGTCGTCGTCGTCGTCATCGTCAAAGCCGAGGAGGAGGAGGAGGAGGAGGAGGAAGAGGAGGAGGAGGAGGAAGAGGAGGAGGAAGAGGAAGAGGAAGGGGAGGAGGAGGACGAGGAGGAGGAGGGAGGAAGAGGAGAAGGAGGAGGGGGAGGAGGAGGAGGTTGAAGAGGAGGAGGAAAGGAGGAGAAGGAGGAGGAGGAGGAAGAAGAGGAGGAGAAGGAGGAGGGGGAGGAGGAGGAGGAGGGGGAGGAAGAAGAAGAGGAGGAGGAGGAAGAGGAGGAGGAGGAGGGGGAAGAAGAAGAGGAGGAGGAGGAGGAGGAGGAGGAGGAACATCGCCTGGATCTCAGGCACGAGCCCTTCCTGCGCGCCGCCTGCGCGCACATTCGCGACGGCGCCGCGGGGTACTCCGCCAGAGGCCTGTCCAGCACCCTGTACGCGCTGGCGCTGCTGCGCTTCCGCGACGACGCGCTGCTGGAGGATTGGCACCACCCAGACCCAGACCCCCTCGGGCAATAGAATTGCACCAGAGAAAAAACCCAACCAGTGGACGGTTTGAAGTGGGATCGATAAGGAGATCGATAAGGAGATCGACTGGGAACCCAGAAACCCGGAACCCACCGAAATTGGAGCGGAACCACTGACCAGGAACCCAGGAATCCAGAACTGGGAACCCGGGAACCCAGCCGGCCACCAAAGGCGGCCCCTCGGGTAATAGAAAATCATGACGAGAGGTTTTCCCCAATTTTCGGCCTCCGGAGGCCGTAACCGGCCCTCGGGACCGTCAAAAGACGGCTCAGGATGAGAAACCTGGCCCCGGGGAGGGGGTCGAGAGCTTTGGGGGTCGACGCTGTGAAGAAGTCATGACGTCGGGGGCCTGGGAAACGAATGAATGAAAGGGAGGGGGTCGCAACCCTCCCAGACGAGCAGTTTTAGACCTCCTCCTCCTCTTCCTCCCCCTCCTCCTCCTCCTCCTCCTCCTCCTCCTCCTCGTCCTCCTCCTCCTCCTCCTCCTCCTGCTCGTCCTCCTCCTCATCCTCCTCCTCCTCCCTCCCTCCCCCAGACCATCCACGAGAGGGCGGCCTTCTGCCCAGAGCCCCCTGGAGCCCTGGGCTCAGGGAACGGGAGCCGATGCAAACGGGGGTCAGCCAGAGCGCCGGATCCTGCAGGATCCTGCAGGGCCCGGGGTGCAGGGACCAGGTTTGCACTGACCCTGGTCAGCAGGTCCCCGATTTCTGGGTGCCCAGATCCCAGTCGATTCCAGGCGAGAGCCTGCTTCCAGAGCCGATATGTTTCTGCCGTGCTTTTCTCATCACCTGGCTGGGCCCGAACCCAAACTGCTTCACGCGCCTTTCTACTTCGTGCTTCCACTTGGTATCGTTCGGACGTGTGCATTTTTCCTTCGGCGAGGGCCATCGAGGAGCATCCTTGATCATTCGGCGAACAACAAAAAAAACACGCACGAAACCGAAAAAAACACAGGGAATGGACGTCCGAGCGATGGCCAGCCCAAACAGGGCTAGGATCGGGATAAATCGCTCCAGAGCGTTCCGGAGCGCTCTCAGAGCGTTCCGGAACGCTCTGGAGCCGCCGCGGCGCCCAATACATCCTCCAAACCCGCCGATTCTCAGAGATTTCGAGTTATCCCGATCCGATTTTGTCCCGATCTTCGCGTCGTTTTACCAGTCCATGATTCGTTTCCGGCTGGCGGGTGCTCGTGCCACGCGCGCGCGCGTCGGCCACGCTGCGTGGCCGACGCGCGCGCGCTCGGAAGGCTCGCAGCGTGGGCTCCGTGGCGGGCGCTTGCCTCTGGCCGCCTCGCGCGGGGATCGACGCGGCCAGCACGGACGGTCGTTACCAGCCTCGAACGTATCCCTATCCCCACAATTGTCAGGAGGAGAAAAAACACACAGACACAATTAATCGGCGATTCCCCAGAAAATATGGGAAAATATGGGAAGTGGGGGGGAAGACAAAAGCCCAGAACATGTAGGAAAATATAGGGGAATATTTTTATTTGTGTGTATTTATTTGTGTCTCCCAGGGCCCCTTCAGATTGACACGCCAAAAGGCGATGACAATCTTAGGGATCCGCCCTCAAGAAAGAAGGGAATCCCTAAGATTGCCATCGTGATGAGGAGGTGCCCAGCATAGGGATAGGGATATGTTCCAGGCTGGTAAAGTCGGGGGCTGGCAGGGCCCCCCACCCTGACACGTTGACGAATGGATTGTCCGTTTTCGGTTCTCGAGGGGGCGCCGCGGCCGTCGCTTTCCAGGCTTGCGCCCGCCAGGTTTGGGCCCGAGGCTGTTTTCACTGAGCCACGGTTTACTCGAGGGGGTTCTGTCCATCCCCGAGATAGGTAGGATGAGCGGATTTCCAAGGTTGTGGTTGCGTCCTTCCGATTCGGCCCATGCTTGCCCACCTTCGCTGGCCGCGCCCCGCTCGAAAAGTGCCGGCATGGCCTCCGAGGCCCTTGCATCCCTATCGTGCGCCCTTCTTGCACGCGTTGATTGTACAGTCGGGGCCCTGAAGAAGGAACCCTTTTCGTTGGGGATGGGCTCCGTGTTCCTTGATTGTTTCGCAGCTTGCCTTGGATTTTCCTTCCTCCGGATTCCATAACAAAGTGGGGGGGTCACATTCGGGGGGGGGGTCTAATTTGAGCTGTCTTGGAGGGTTTGGGGGGGTCTGTGCAAAGGGCCGCCCTTTCATGGATAGTCTGGGGGGGGTCTAAAATTTCTTGTCTGGGAGGGTTGTGACCCCCTCCCTTTTATTACGAAATCTGGAGTAGGCTTTCGATACGAAATCGAAGTTCAACTTATGGAAAATGGGGGCCTCGTTTTTTATTTAGGGTTCCTTAGGTCAACGCCACGACTGTACTACAATATTGTCCACCGTCTGTTCGACGGTCGGCGGTGCATCTCCAGTAGAGGCACATGGTACTACAGCATTGCATGTCCTTGCGCGTCCCACGAGGAGGCCTGCTCGCAGGCCACCCGCCGGCTGCCCGAGTTCAACTCGCAGGACGCCCTTGGGCATGACCCCCTCAAGTCGGCGGCGAGCCCGGGGGCGGAAGTGAGGAGGGGCGGGCCTGGTCCGAGGGCCCGGAGGTGCCCCCGGCCTTCGGAGGAGTCCTCCGAGGCTCCTCCCCGAGGGCACAGGACGCGGCTCGGGAGCCGCGAGGGCGCCCGGAGGAGCCCCCGCCGTCTCCCGAGGAGGCTTCCTGCCTCCCGCGCTTCCCCCCCGCGCTCGCCGCCGGCTCCAGATGGAGTGAGAAGCTTCAACGGCACCGCAACGGGTACTTACTAACGGGTACTTTGAATTGTTGCCGAAAGTTGCCACTTTAGGGCCTTTTTCTTGCATTGCAGCTTTGCCCACATCGGGAAGGGTTGGGTTCGCTGGGTCACTGGCCAAAGTACCCGTTAGTGGAGTCCCCGTTTGAGGGGCGCTGAAAGCTCGGGGTGCCCCGGGCCAGGGGCACCTCGCTGGCACCCCCGCCGGCTCGTCGGCCCCCCGCGAGAGCTCGGCGCCTCCTCCGCGGCGGCCGCCGCCTTCGGGGCGCGCGGCGGTGCGTCGAGAGTGCTTCCCCCCCGCGCTCGCCGCCGAGCTCCCCTGACCTTCCGGGAGGGCAAAAAAATAGCACCCGACCTAAAAACCTATCCCAGAGCTATTCTACGTCTTGGTTTTGGGCTGTTTCGTTTAGTTTTTTAGGTTTTTAGGTCTCCAGTGCTAAAAGATAACTCTCTGGAAGGTCGGGGTCAGGGCGGGGCGGGGCTCGAGATCCCGGGCCTGCGGGCGCCTGCGCCGGGCCCCGGAGGTCTGCCGGCCTCTCGAGGGCATGGGGGGGGGCGCACCGCCTGCGGCGCTCGAGGAGCCCGAGGCGTGCTGCGGGGCAGCCGGAGATGAAGTCGGGCCTGTCCCTCTACAGGAGGGGTATCCAGAAAAAGTCAAAACAAACGTCTGGGGGCAATTTTTTTATAGATGTTTTCGATGCTCGTTTTGGGGACCTTCCTGGGGCCTACCTAACAGATCTGTTCGACTCAGATTCGACTCAGGTTCGACTCAGATTCGACTCAGATTCGACGCAGGTTCGACGCAGGTTCGACGCAGGTTCGACTCAGATTCGACTCAGGTTCGACGCAGCTTCGACGCACGAGTGGAGCGAGTGGCTCCAGGAAGGTCCCCAGAAGGAGCATCTAATTTTTTGAATATTTGTTCAAAGATGTTCGAACATGTTTGTCAAGCAGTGGCGCAGCGTCCTGGCTCGCCTGTAGGCCTACAAAACAGTGTTCTAAGAACCTTGTGTGGTCTGCACAATGTTCTTACAACGTTTCTGGCGGGGACTGTCTTGTCTGAACACGTCGGGGAAAAGTTCTGAGAGCATTGTCTTTGTTCTTAGAACTTTTTGGGGTTCTAAGAAAATTTCGTGGTAGGCCTATAGGAATGCCAGGACGGTCGGTCCCTGCGCAAGTTTGGGGTATGCTTAATTGTTCGTCCACATCCCCCTGTAGGGGGACATGCCCGACCTAAGTCTTGTTTCGGGGCAGCCTAAGACTCGAGTAAACTAGAACTCGGGTTTGTCGACGTGTTCTGACGAGCGCGTCCTGGATTTTGACCTTCCAGGTTTCGTGGAGTGTCTGCAGCGGGAGCTCACGCCGAATTTCAGAGTGGGTCTCCTCGTTTTCGTGGCGGCCCCGTCAGGCCAACCCGAGTCCCCCGTACCCAAGTCTCAGGAAGGAAACAAGCACACAGACACAATTATTCGTCGATTCCCCAGAAAATATGCGAAAACATGGGAAGTGGAGGGGGAAGACAGAAACCCAGAAAATATTAGGAATCTTTTCATTTGTGTGTATTTATTTGTTGGTTTGTGGGCCCCTCCAAAGTCCTACGCCTCCCCGACTGTTCGCGACGTGAGCACGCCTGGCATGCTCTCGCGGCGTCGGACCCCAGGGGGTGCCTCGGGGCGCTGAAGAAGGAACCCTTCTCGTTTGGGAGGGGCTCCGTGTTCCTTAATTGTTTCACAGTTTGCCTTCTGTTTTCCGTAGGTTTTCGATGGGAAATCGAAGTGTAACTCATGGAAAAGAGAGGCCTCGTTCCTAATTTAGGGTTCCTTAGGTCAACGCCCCGACTGTACCCAAGTCCTACGTCTCCCCGTTTGTTCGCGACGTGAGCACGCCTGGCATGTTCTCGCGGCGTCGGACCCCATAGGGTGCCTCGAAGCGGAGCCGCGGGGAGGCGGCAGATCGTGCTGGAGACCTTCGAGTAGGGGATCGACTGCGAATCTGATTTCGCCTGAATCAAAAAAGAACAAAAACAAATAGTCTGGGACGATGTGTCGACTATGTTCTGACCTTAGTGGGCCCTGGAAACGACAGGGCCGTTTTTGTTACCGGTTCCGTTTTGCCGTTCTCTTGCCGGTTCCGAGGCCGTTGTTTTACCGGTTCCGTCGCCGTGTTTTGACCGGTTCCGGCTCCGGTTCCAATCCTGGAGCCGTTGTTTTGCCGTTTCCGGTCGCCGTTTTTTTGCCGTTTCCATCTTCAAGGGACATTTTTCTGGAAACGGTGAACAAACGGCCCTGCCGTTTCCGGGGCCCACAAAGGTTTTGACTATGTTTGAATATGTTTCGGTCGTTTTATGTTTCGTCCAACATCCGCCTGTAGGGGGACATGCCCGACCGAAGGTTTGCCCCAGAACTGTTTTTGTCCGTCGGATCTACGTTTAAGTCGGGCATGTCCCTCTACAGGAGGAAAATTCAAAAATAATGATAAACAGTCTGGGGACGATGCTTCTATGTCTGACTATCTTTGAGTCTGTTTTGACTATTTCAAAATTGTCGGCCCAGAATCCGCCTGTAGGAGGACATGCCCGACCTAACCGTAGATCTACGGAGAGTGAGTGGGCCGAACGGTCATCCCTTGTCCCCCTGGTGCGTGGCTGAAGTGGGCTTCCGTGGTGCGGATTGTTGTTGAATTCGCATTCCTGAAGGATAATCATGGTTGTTCTCCTACCCAGTGGTGGTGCGCGTTTTTTTGTCTCCTCTGAAGTGCCCCCCTCGGGGCTCGCACCCTGTTTTGTATCAGGTGAATTCTTCATGCTCAAACTGGGCCCCTGACCACCAAACTAAAACAACAACGGCTCCCGCAGGATACTCCCTCACAATGTACTCCGAAATCGCGCTCTCACGCGGGACGTCCTCACAATATGCAAGAATCGCGCGCTCACGTGGGACCTCCTCGCGATGTATTCGAACGCCGCGCCCTCGACACTCAGGAATCACGCTCTCGTTTTGGTTGTTCTGCTGATTTATGTGGGGATCGCGCTATCGTTCGAGACTTCCTCGCGATTCGTGCAGGACTCACGCTTTAGCAACCTGCCTTCCCGACTCGCCTGTTGGGGCATGCCGGCCCGATCTGCCCGTCTGGTTAGTGTTTTCTGCTCCTAGCCACCCTCCTGCTAATTTCTCTCGTACTCCATCCTTCTCCCTCCCCCTTCCATCCGTCCTCTCTTCCCATGTTTGAAGGGGCTGCGTTAGATGCACGTGGCAGGTAAGGAAGATGTACCCCCAAGGGGCTACGATCGAAGACGAAGAGGGCGGGGACCGAAGATTTGGGATACACGTGCTGAATGGCACGCGAGCAGATAGGAGCGAGTAGTCTTAACAGGACTGTTGTTGTTGATGATGATGTTGTTGATGTTGCGTTGTTTGGTGTCTGTTTTTGGTGTTGCATTGTTTGCTGTCGTCGTCCCACCCGCGACCCACCCGCGACCCATCCGGCTTCCCACCGTCGACTCACCTGGCGACCCACCCGTTTGATTTGACGGAAAATTCAGCGCCTGCGGCGGGCTCGTCGCAAAATCTGCTGAAAAATCAATGCCTGCGGCGGGCTTCCTCAGAGCCTCGCAGACTGCCGACGGCCCCGCCGCCCACATTACTCTTATCCACTACTGCGGGGTGCTACATTTTTTGTATAGTCGACAGACAGAACAACGTTTCCGGTTGCAGCTCCTGGGAGGTCAAATTCTGTTTCTGCCTTGGTCCTAAATCCGGCTTAATCAGGCTTGATCCTTTTTATTCGGTTCAATCCCGCGCAATCCGGCTCAATCCCGCCGAATTCGCAGCCGAATCCGGCGTAGCAGCCCTCCAAAGGGGCTCGATCCTTCTTAACCCTTCCGACGGAGACCTCCCAGCAACTGCCTCCTAACATGTGGGGGAACCTCAGTTCTGCAGTCGATCCCCCACTCGAGTCCTGCGCGCTGAAGGCCGCCACCCTCGACGGCAGACGGGCGCACATGGGCCCCGAGGAGCGGCTGGGGCTCTCTGCTCGAGGAGCCCGGAGGCGTACGCCGCGCCCGGTCGGGCCCTGCTGGCTCCAAAAGGGACCCTGAAGGGCCCCTTGAGGGCTCTGATTCTCCACCCCCACATCACCCACTGCTCCAGCTGGGGGGGGAGGAGGAGGATGAGGAGGAGGAGGAGGAGGAGGAGGAGGAGGAGGAGGAAGAGGAGAAGGAGGAGGCGGAGGAGGAGGAGGAGGAGGAGGGAGGAGGAGGAGGCGGAGGAGACGCTGGAACGAGGACCGACTCGGGTTCGGAAGGGGCTCGCTGCTCCTCGGGTCGTCCGGTGGTTGCTCCTCTGGCCTTCCTCGTGCCCCCAGGCGCTGCCGGCGCCAAAGCAGGAGGGACCACGCTGCGGCGTTGCTTCTGGCAGCACCTCGACTGTAGGTCGCCCCCCGACCTTGACCGCTGAAGCAGCGCCCTCCCCCCCACACCTCACCGGCACGGGGAAGCAGCGCCTTCTCGCGGCCTGCCAAAGTCAAGCAGTGACGAAGCGTCCTGGCTCGCCTGTAGCCCTACCAAACAGTGTCCTAAGAGCCTTTCGAGGTTCCCACGAAATGTTCCTAGAACATTTCTGGCGGAGTCTGTCATGTTTTAACACATCGGGCTTCTGTTCTACGAACAACATTTTTTGGGGTTCTAAGAACATGTCGTGGTACGGCTATAGGAACGCCGGGACGGTCGGCCCCTGCTCAACAAAGAGGCTGGCGCCGCGGCAGTCCGAAGCAAGGCCAAGGATGGGCTGGCCCAGCGCCCGCCCGGGGCGGCGCGCGCGGCGCCTCGCTCGACGAATTCGGGGGCGGCGAAGAGGGGAGAAGCGTAAGACTCGAGTAAGCCGGAACTCGGGTTTGCCGACATTTTTTGACGAGCGCGTCATGGATTTTGACGGTCCAGTTTTCGTGGGATGTCTGCAGCGGGAGCTCGCGTCAAATTTCAGATTGGGTCTCCTCATTTTTATGGTGGCCCCGTCAGGCCAACCCGAGTCCCCCGTACCCGAGTCTTACGTCTCCCCGAAAAGAGGGGGTCGATGACTAGGGGGGGGGGATATCATGGCGGGGGCCATGACCTTTCCCCAGATTTCATGGTGCCTCTTCCTATTTCATTGCGTCCCGGGCCCCCCCCCCGTACCCGAGTCTTACGTCTCCCCGAAAAGAGGGGGTCGATGACTAGGGGGGGGGGATATCATGGCGGGGGCCATGACCTTTCCCCAGATTTCATGGTGCCTCTTCTTATTACATTGCGTCCCGGGCCCCCCCGCTGGGCCGCGCACATGCCGCCGGCCATGATTTGCACCCCCCCCCCCCCTCTTGGACACCCCCCTCCTTGGCCGCTCCCGACGAATGCTGCCCCCCCCTTCGATCCTCGACCCGACCCTCGAGGAGGAGGCGGAGGAGGGAGGAGGAGGAGGAGGAGGAGGAGCAGGAGGAGCAGGAGGAGGCGGAGGAGGAGGAGGAGGAGGAGGAGGAGAGGAGGAGAATGAGGAGGTAAGGAGGCCACGGGGGTGTGCCTCTTTCGCCCTCGTGGCCGTTGCTTGAGGCAGGCACCCCGCAGGCCCTTTTCTCCCCCCCCCGTTTTAGTCATCGGGGGCAAAAGAAGCTCTGATCCTGGCAACACGATGTACACGGCCTCACTGGGGTCCTCGTCTGTGCATTCGGGGCAATAGATCCTCGACCCAATCCTCAAAATGGGGGCCACGGGGGTGTGCCTCAGCCCCCCGACGTCAGAATGTCTTCATTACGTTCAAGTCGGGCATGTCCCTCTACAGGAGGAGTTCAAAAATAATAACCAATAGTCTTGGGACGATGTTCCTACTATTTGTTGACTATGTTTTTGCATTTTTGAATATATTTGTATACTTGTTCCGATTTGTTCAAATTGTTCACTCAAGATCCGCCTGTAGGGGACATGCCCGACCTAACATTACGTCCACCCCCAGAGTTCTCGACACGCTCCTAGGGACCAGTCTCTCATCCTGACTCTTCTTCACGGCCCCGAGGCCCGGTGAGAGCCAAAGGAGGGCCGAAATCGACTACACGTAAGAGTGACCTTTCGCCGGAGTGACCTTTGGTGCGGGCACAATGGGGTCCCCCGATCACCAATTGCGATGTGATAGTAGCGTCTTGCGCGCCTGAGTTTGGTCCCCCCGCGGCCCGCCCAAAGCCGCGCACCAAAGGTCACTCTTACCCAGGGTCACTCTTGCGTGTAGCCGACGAAAGTAGCGAAGAATTGTCCGTCATGATTTTTGTCATGGCCCGGCCCTGAGATCCGACGTAGCGCTCCCGCGGCGGCGGCCCCGCATGCCTCGGGGGCAGGCCGTCAGCCCGGCTGTCGTCGAGGACATCATCACGATGGGCCTGTTCCCACCACCATCACCATAAGTTGGAGGGGTGAAGGAGGAGGAGGACGAGGAGGAGGACGAGGAGGAGGAGGAGGAGGAAAGACAAGGGAGGAGGAGGAGGAGGAGGAGGAGGAGGAAACCGAGGGCGAGCCGCCCGCCGTGAAGGGATTGCAACGCCAGGATCTCAGGGGAGGGGGTCTGGGCTTTGTGGGCCCTGGAAACGGCAGGGCCGTTTTTTATCGTTTCCAAAAAAATGTCCCTTGCAAATGGAAGCGGCAAAAAAGCGGCGACCGGAAACGGCTAAAAAACGGCCCCAGGATGGGAACCGGAGCCGGAACCGGTCAACAAAAAGGCGACGGAGTCGGTAAAAGAACGGCGTCGGAACGGGCAACAAAAACGGCACAACGGAACCGGTAACAAGACGGCTTTGTCGTTTCCGTGGCCCACTGAGGGTCTGGGCTGGAAGAGCCTCCTCCTCCTCCTCCTCCTCCTTCTCCTCCTCCTCCTCCTCAACCCTTCGACCCCTCCCCTTCCTGGCAGGACGTCTCCAACACGGTGCACTCCCTCGGGCAGCTGCACTTCCCGCACCGGGGCCTGCTGCGCACCCTCGGCGCCCAGGTGCCCGGCCGCCTGGGCGAGTTCACCAGCCAGGGGGTGGCCGGAGGTCCCCAAACGGCCTGGCGTTACGTCGGGCATGTCCCTCCACCCAGAGCCCCTCGAGTAATGAAAAAATCATGACGGGACGTTTTTCGTAATTTTCAGCCTCCGGGGGCCCTCACCAGGCCTCGGGAGCGTCAAAAAACGACTCAGGACGAGAAACCGGTCATGGGGAAAGGGTCGGGACCTCTGGGGGTCGACGTAATGAAAAAAACATTACGTCGGGGGTGTGGGCACAGGAGGAGCATCCGAGAATAGTTGAATTCATAGTCTGGTGGCGATTTGTCGTGCTCTTTCTGACCATGTGTGATTCTGTTTTAGCACGTTCGCTTCCACAGTCCGCCTGTAGGAGGACATGCCCAACCTAAGCCTGGCGGCCGGGCCACCACTTCGCGGCCCGGGCACCGTCGGGTGTGCCCAGACCCCTTCGGGTCATGAAACAATCACGACGGGAGGTTTTCCCTATTGTGGGCCTCCAGGGGCCCTCGCCGGGCCTCGGGACAGTCAAAAAACGACTGGGATGAGAAACCAGTCCCAGGGAACGGGTCGAGAACTTTGGGGGTCGACGTTGTGGAAAAATCATGACGTCGGGGGTCTGGGGGTATGTTACGATGGGTTCGTGCGGCGTTGGCGTGCTGGCGACGCTGGCGAAGGCGTTCAGGGTCGAATTCTGCGACGCGGAAGCCCTCAGGGAGTCGGTGACCCCATTGGACCCTACGGAATTCAACCATGAACGATTGGGGCCGCGATCGGTTCCATGTTGAACGATCGACGCGGTGTCAAAAACCTTTGCGCGCGCCGTCGCCGCACGAACCTACCGTACAGTCGGGGCCCTGAAGAAGGAACCCTTTTCGTTGGGGAGGGGCTCGGTGTTCCTTGCTTGTTCTGCAGTGTACCTTCGGTTCTCCTGAGGTTTCCCATGGGAAATCGAAGTTCAACTTATGGGAGAAAGGGGCCTCGTTCCTTATTTGGGGTTCCTTAGGTCAAGGCCCCGACTGTAAGGCCTCGGACTGCTTGCGGTGTCATCACCTCGGCGCCGCCGCCTGGCGGCGCCCCTAGGGGCCGCTCCGCGTCCCGGGGCCCGGGTGTGGAGACCGCCCAGGACTAATGATTCGGGGGGCTTGTTGAGGTTAGCTGGTCGGGGGCGGCAAAGAGGGGGGTGATGACTAGGGGGGGGGGTGGATATCATGGCGGGGGCCATGATAATTCCCCAGATCTCATGGCGCCTCTTCTTATTTCATTACGTCCCTGGCCCCCCCGCTGGGCCGCGCACGTGCCGCCGGTCATGATTTGCCCCCCTCCCTCATGGACGCCCCCCTCTTGGCCGCTCCCGAGCTGGGACTGCTCGGGGGGCCTGCAGGAGCCAGCCGACTGGGTGAGGTCTGTGCGCAACCCGAAGCCTTACCAAGCGACCTCTCCGTCGGGCGAGCCAAGCCCACACCGCATCGGGCAGTGAAAAGGCTACGACGGATTTTTGTTGTTGGTTTGGGGTTCTAGCCTCACTCAACGGCCCCAGGACCGCTAAAAAAACATTGAGGATGAAAAGCTGGCTCCCAGGAAGAAGTCCAGACCTCTGGGGAGCCACACTGCGAAGAAAACATACGACGTCGGATGTTTGGGGTCGGGTGAGTCAAAGTCATCGCCACTCGGACGCGTGTGTCAACCAAACTCTTACAAAATTCTGTTTGGCACGGCCGATGTCTGTTAGACAATTCTTCGGGTTGACCCAAAATGAGGTCCAGCGACAAGGGGGTGGTGCAACAGATTTGGTGCAATAGATTTGTGGGGCTGCCATTTGGGGCGTGCAATACATTGCAGGGCACAAATGTATTGCTGGACTCTCGCGCGCACTGCATTACTTGCAATACAGTGCAATACAGTTCTCTGGCGCAATACATTTGCAACACGATTGCCCCAAATCTATTACACTACCCCCTTTCAGGTCACCCAAACATTTCGGTTTGGCACGCCCAGTCTGTCAGACAGTGCTTGTTCGCACGGCTGGCGGATCTGTTAGACAATTCGACAACTCTATCCGACACGGACGGTCTGCGAGGAATTTTTGTGGCCCACGGTCGGAGCCTGCACGCGGGGATCCCGCGGAGGAGGAGTCCGCGGGACAAAACAGCAACGTGTCAGGAAGGTGGCAGGAGAGTGTCGCCTTCGTGTCACCACCTACCAAACCACCCCAACCCACCCGAAGGCCCAAATTTATCCTCGATCTCCAGTGGAGGGGGGGGTCGGGGAACATTGAAAAAACACGCGGAATCCGTACCCCCCCCCCCCAACCCGAAATTCGGATCGAATTCGGGTTTTCGGGTTGGGTTGGGGTGGTCTGGTAGGTAGTCATCGTGCGGGACGATGCGGGAAAATGGCATGGAGAAGCAAGCCGAGATCCAGCAGCGGCCCAGGTCCCCATATTTGCTGCGTACCCCGATCGTGCCGCCGCAACCGAGGCCTGGAGCGGGTCCGTCCTCCGAAGACGTATGGAGCCCCTCCTCCTCCTCCGCCCTCCTCCTCCTCCTCCTCCTCCTCCTCCTCCTCCCTCCTCCTCCTCCTCTTCCTCCTCCTCCTCCTCCTCTCCTCCTCCTCCTCCTCCTCCTCCTCCTCCTCCTCCTCCTCCTCCTCCTCCTCCTCCTCCTCCTCCTCCTCGTGGGGGTTCCCCAGCCCGTCGGGTGGCGGACCGTGCATGGTGAGGTCTGAGGGGGCTGGCGCTCGCGTCGCTCCCAGGGCCGCCAGGCCCAGACCCCCTCGAGTAATGAAAAAATCACGACGGAAGGTTTTTCCTAATTTTCGGCCTCTGGGGGCCCTCACCGGGCCTCGGGAGCGTCAAAAAACGACTCAGGATGGAAAGCCGGTCATGGGGAAAGGGTCGGGGCCTTTGGGGGTCGACGTAATGAAAAAATCATTACGTCGGGGGTCTGGGAAGCCCGTCGGGTGGCGGACCGTGTATGGTGAGGTCTGCGGGAGCTGGCGGCTCGCGTCGCTCCCAGGGCCGCCAGGGTGGGGCTGGTGCCACCAGCTCTGGCTGCCAGGCCGTGTTCCACCGCCGCCCCCTCCACCTCCTCTCCCCACTCCCCCTCCTCCTCCCCCCCTCCTTCCCCCATTCCCCTCCCTTCCCCCCCACTCCCCCTCCCCCCCTTCCCCCTCCACAATTACTCAATATGAATACTACTCTCCTCCTTCCCCTGATGACGGGTTGGTAGTGTTCGCCCCCCCCCCCCCCCCGCGTATTGTTTTTTTTCCACGGGATTCCCCGGGGTTGGGTTTTCGCATGCATTTGTTTCCAAAATGCTGCTCTCGCTGAGGCGCCGGCCTCATTTTCGGGCCCCGCTCGTTCCGAATCGTGCTCCCGCTGCAGCACTGGCCTCATTTCCGTGTTTCCGCTCGTTCCGAATCGTGCTCCCGCTGCAGCGATGGCCTCATTTCCGCGCTTCCGCTCGTTCCGAATCGTGCTCCCGCTGCAGTGCTTGCGTCATTTCCCGTGCCATGCCACGGCATGCAATGCAATGCTAGGTTGCGTTCCGCTGCGCGATGCTATGCCTTCAGCTGAAGCTGTGATATGCAGTGCTTAAGTGCCACGTCGGGCTATGCCATGCTACGCTTTGATCTTCAACGCCATGCTATGCAACGTTATGTTCGGGGCCGCTGTGCGATGCCATGCTTTGCGTTGCAAAGCTTTGTGATGCAATTCTTCACTACGACACGCCACGCCATGCTGTGACATACTATGCTTTGCGGTGCTCTTCTACGCCATGCCATGCCGTGCTCCACAATGCATCGCGTACCCTTTCGGGATCATTGCCCTGCTCGACATCCGACTGTGCGAGTAGACAGGGGATCTACGCCATGGTAAGGGATGGGAGGGAGGGGTAGGATGTCAGATATGACGCGAGCGCACCTAGCTTGCCCCTCCCCCCTCCCCCTCCCCCCCCCCTCCTCCCCCCTCCTCCCCGTCCTCCATCGCCCCTCGCCCTGCCGTTGCTGTCTGCCCCAGAAGGGGGGGCTCGCCGTGCGCGCGCCGGGAGAGACGTCTGAGAAGGGCGGCTCGAGCCGCCCAGGGTCCGCGCGGCCGGAAGGCGCCAGTCCTGCTCGTCGCCCCAGCAGGGCTTGCTGAGAGTCAGGGGGGACGCAGCACACAGAGCCCCGAATCATCAGGGGTAACTCGGGTCAGAGATAACTCGGGTTCGTTTTTCGGGAATCCAAACCCGAGTTACCCCGGACCCGAGTTTAACTCGGGGAATCCAAACCCGAGTTACCCCGGACCCGAGTTACCCCGGATAACTCGGGCGTCCAGAGCCCCGAATCATCAGGGGTAACTCGGGTCAGGGGTAACTAGGATTCCTTTTTCGGGAATCCAAACCCGAGTTACCCCGGACCCGAGTTACCCCGGATAACTCGGGAGCCCAAACACAGACACAAGTCATCGTCGATCCCCAGGAGCAGATGGGAAACTATGGGCAGTGGTGGGGGGGGGAGAGAGGAACCCAGAAGGGATCGGGGAACTATGGGGAGTCCTGCTATTCATGTGTACCTATTTGTGTGTCCCGGGGCCCCTTCAGAGAGGCCGCGCCCCCCATCGCCGCATGCGGCAGCTGCGCGCCCGATGTCGGCCGCCGTCGTGCAGAAGGGCAGTCGAGGTGTCGCACTCGGCGGCGAGGGGGGGGGAATCGAAATGGAGAAGGCCCTCGTAGAAGGCGGCGGGGCTTCTCAGAAACCCTCGCGCGCCTTCTGAGAAGTTTCCTGCGTCTTTGGGGAAGGCTCAGAAAGCTTCCCAGAAGGCTGGAGGACTTCCGAGCCTTCTGAGAAGGCCTCCTCCTTTCAGGAAGGGAAAAACACAGACACTATGAATCGACGATTCCCATGAAGATCGGGGAAATGTGGGAAGTGGGGGGAAGACGAAGATCCAGAACATATTGGAAAGATGAGGCATCCTGGGATCTGTGCCTATTAATTTGTGCGTCCCTGGCCCCTTGAATTCCCCCATTGCTCGCCGCGGAGAAAAGGGCAGGCGAGCTGTATAGCACGGGCCTGGGAGTCGCGGGCGCTGGCTCGCCCACTGGATGGTTCAGAGTCGCGGGCGAGGGCGTTGTCGATGGCCTGGTCTAGTTTTGAGTTGGGCATGTTCTTCTACGGGAAGAATATGTGATCGGTTTGTTTTTGATTGTATTGCCGATCGTCGCGGGTCCTCGCACCCCCTCAGTGGAGTAGATCTTGGTCGTGTTTGGCGCCTGTTTCGAGCAGGTGGAGGCCTCCCTCATAGAACGCACTTTTGCAAACAGTCGCACTGAGCAGAGGTCCAGAGCCAGACGTCCCCCCACCCTCCTGGCCCTATTTCCGCCCAGTGTCGCAACGCCGGAAACGAACACGTGCACCTCCCCCTGAATTCTGAGTTCAAAGTCGACACGCGCGGAGGAGGCTGCGGTCGAGGTGCAACTCCTCGGGCCCACCGCCAACTCTGAGCACGGGGGGGGCGGCGCTGACCGAGGAATGTTGCACGAGTGTTCGCTACACCTTAGGCGATGCTTAAGAAAACCCAAGTTTTCGGCCAGAGTCTCGATTATTCTTAACGTTTCAATGTAAATCCTAAGATGTTAATAGAAATGTCGGGTTTTTTTATTGAAGTTCTGAGACTATGATTTTCTTAACCCATGGTTTCTTAAGCATTTCGCAGGGTGTATGTTTCTTCCGAGGCCTGCCTCCATGGGGGTCCTGGCCTGCGGGCGGGGGCGGCTGCGCGAGGCCCTTGACCAGGTGTCGAGGGTGGGGGGCCCTGGCTTTTTAAGTCGGGTGCGTCCCTGCACAGGATGAGTGTTCAAGAATCGTAAAACCATCAGTCAGGCGGCATAGTTTCGTGCTTCTTTGACCAGGTTTGGCTCTCTGTTGACCGTGCCTCATCTTTCTTCTGGAGCCCGCCCGTGGCGCAGACGCGCCAACGGCGATGTAGGCAACGGCGATGTAGGTTTCGGCATTGTAGGTGGGATTGGTTCGTGACCAAACCAATTGTAGGACATCGTGGTTCGCGATTTCCTACCATTCGCTGCGTCGTTTTCCCTCATTTGGGCTGTAGGAGCGTGTGGTTTCTGTGATATCCTACAGTTTGTTCTGCGCGAGCTCGGCGTCACAAACATCGGACTCCCAACATCGCCGTCAACCAGCATCGCCATTAGCGCGGCCTTGGCTGTAGGAGGACATGCCCGACCGAAGTCTTGGTGCTCCTGGGAGCAAAAGGCACACCCTCACCCCCAGCCGGGACCACCGGGGTCACCAGGTCGAGGGTGAGGGCCCTGGCTGGGGGTTGGGGGTGGAGGGCTTCTCCGAAGTGTTTAGGCGACCCGTCCTCCTCCTCCTACTCCTCCTCCTCCTCCTCCTCCTCCTCCTCCTCCTCCTCCTCCTCCTCCTCCTCCTCCTCCTCCTCCTCCTCCTCCTCCTCCTCCCTCTCCTCCTCCTCCTCCTCCTCCTCCTCCTCCTCCTCCTCCTCCTCCTCCTCCTCCTCCTCCTCCTCCTCCTCCTCCTCCTCCTCCTCCCTCCTCCTCCTCCTCCTCGTCCTCCTCCTCCTCCTCCCCCTCCTCCCCTCCTCCTCCTCCTCCTCCCTCCTCCTCGTCCTCCTCGTCCTCCTCCTCCTCCTCCTCCTCCTCCTCCTCCTCCTCCTCCTCGTCCTCCTCCCCTCCTCGGGTCGCCTACGGCCCCCGGGGCAACCGTGCAGTCGGGGGGTGCCTTGCGCTGCCCTCAGAGGTGGCCAACGTCATGCACGCCCTGGGGCTCCTGCAGCTCCGCCACGCCGGCCTGCTCGGCGCGGTGTGCGCGCACGTGGCCGGTGGGCGGCCGGGCGGGCTCCCGGGGCGCAGGGCGCCGCCGAGCGGCAGGCGCTCGGAGGACCCAGCCCCCCTCGAGTCATGACAAAATCGCGACGGGAGGTTTTTCGTCATTTTCGGCCTCCGGGGGCCCGCACCTGGCCTCGGGAGCGTCAACGAAGCGACTCGGGATGCAAAGCCGGTCATGGGGAGAGGGTCGGGGCATTTGGGGCTCGGAGGAGGAGGAGGCATAGGGTTTATGAGATCCCAACCTACTTGAGCCTGGATCACCAGCAAGAGTTTCGAGCACCCATAAAGTGCCGAAACTCTAGGGATTTCGCGTGTCGGGCCCTGGGAGACACTCGTCCGACACTGTTTCGACACTCTTTCGACATGCTCGAAACTATTTCTGGGATGTGGTCCTCAGGTGCGATGGGAGCAGCTTAAGCATAGGCTCCCCGACGATGCGTTTTTCCCCAACTCACTGCTTGCACTGAAGGGGCCTAGCGGGGGGGGGGGTCTAAAGATCCTTCGGGGTTGGCGACGGGAGGATTTTGGCAGTTCTCGGCCTCAGGGGCCCCCTCCTGGCCCCTAGACCGTCAACAAACGACTTCGGATGAAACACCGGTCTTGGGGAAGTTCCCCAATCAATACTTGCACTGAAGGGGTCCTAGCAGGAATTGAACGATTTGGCGACAGTTTCCCGCCGATTTTGGTGGCCTGTTCTGGGTTCCCGGGTTCCCGGTTCTGGGTTCTTGGGTTTCTGGTCATTGGTTCCGGTTCCATTTAGGTGGGTTCCGGGTTTCTTGGTTCCTGGGTGCCCGGTCGATATCCTTATCGATCTCTTGATCGATCCCATTTCAAACCACCCATTGATTGGGGTTGTTCTCTGGTGTAAGTCTTCAGGTCCGGCATCTAGGACCCGTTGTCGGACCCCAGAGCGTCGAGAACGGACCCGGGGCAGAAAACTACCCCCAGGCAGGGCGTGTTTCGATTCCTGCGATCCGAGTCGATCAGATGTCGATGGCTGCCGATTCCGCTTCGATCCGGCTTCGGTTTCCGATTCGGCTTCCGCGTTCCCATCGGAGGCCTGCCGGCCTGCCGAGTTCCGCCGAGGAGACTTCTCCCGACTCGGCTGCCGGGTGCCGCTGCACCGATGGATCTCGGTCGCCGATCCGACGTTATCGATCCGATTCTGGGCTCTCCTGCCCCAGGGAGGAGGGGGAGGAGGAGGAGGAGGAGGAGGAGGAGGAGGAGGAGGAGGAGGATGAGGAGGAGGAGGAGGAGAGGGAGGAGGGGGAGAGGAGGAGGGGGGGAGGGGGGAGGAGGAGGGAGGAGGAGGGAGGAGGAGGAGGAGGCGGAGGGGGAGGAGAAGGGGGAGGAGGAGGAGGAGGAGGAGAGGAGGAGGAGAGGAGGAGGAGAGGAGGAGGAGGAGGAGGAGGAGGAGGAGGAGGAGGGGGAGGAGGGAGGATGGGGAGGAGGAGGAGGAGGAGGAGGAGAGGGGGAGGAGGAGGGGGAGAGGAGGAGGAGGAGGAGGAAGAGGAGGAGGAGGAGGAAGAAGAAGACGAATAATAAGAATAATAATAAGAATAAAACGAATATGAAGAGTAATAATAAGAGGAAGAAGAAGAAGACGAAGAAGAAGAAGAAGAAGAAGAAGAAGGAGGAGGAGGAGGAGGGAGGAGGAGGAGGAGGAGGAGGGGAAGGGGTGGGGGTGTCGGGGGCCGCAGATAGAAAAGTACATGTATCCTCGGACGCCTGTGTAGCTCACCATGCCTGTTGTTCAGGGGAGGAAGAAATACCGATACCGCTGCTTGTCCTGAAGAGCCCTCGTCACCACGGCTGGATTCTCCTCGAGATCTTGGTCGTAACGCGCATTTGGAGAGGTCCGTGGAGTAGTGGTATGGGTGACTTTTTAGGTCTACATAGGCAGGCAGCTGGAACACGCGATAGTCGAACATAAAACAAAATGATACCTGCATGATTGTCGGAGACTCGCGAATCTCTTGGATCTGCCTTGGACACCTCTGGCGCCGCCCCCGGCACCGCCCCTGGCGCGTTCCGCGCGCCAGGGAGGGGGATTTAGCGCCGATGCAAGAGATCCGCGCAGACTTCAGCACGTTTGTGTGGTGCTTCTTTTCGGGGAGGGGGGATTGCTCTCCTCAGCAGATAGTTTGCGAGTGCGATGGGGCATCTTGCTGTAAGAGATCAGGGGTTACATATCTCGTCGATACTTGGGCCTCCTCGGGAGCCTCAGGCTCCTGATGAGGACCTAAGATATTTCGGCTGGGCGCCCGCTATCAGGTCAGCCTCTTTCGGCGGCGAGCCTGGGGGGGGAAGTGAGAAGGGGCGGGCCTTCTCAGAAGGCTCGGATGTCCCGCGGCCTTCCGAGAAGTTTTCTGGGCTTGCCCAGGAGACACAGAAAATAGTTGACGCTTCGCGTGCCCCCACCAGCGGCAGCTTTGGCAGCCGTGAGTGCGCTCGCTGGGTAATTAGGCTCCTCCCATAGCCCGGGTCGACCTTTGACGCCGCCTGCGCCTTCGCTTGCGGCTGCAAGGAAAAACACCTATCCCCACCAGCCTGTGTTAGTTGTAGCTTTGGACGGCGCGCGGCCCTTCCGTTTGCGCTCGCGAACAAACAATCCCCACCAGCCCTTCCAGGAACAACGCCCAGGGGAGTTGAAGTGATCAGGGAAGCGGGAGAGCATGCAGAAGAACAAAGGGCGGGGGAGCCGTCGGATGTGGGGGAGGGAGAGGAGGGAGGAGGGAGGAGGAGGAGTAACGGATACGCAGGACGAGGAGAAGGAGAAGGAGGAGGAGGAGGAACAAAGGACGAACATAAGAGCCTCCTCGGATATCTCTTGGGAGTTGTTTGGAGGCCTCTTGGAACGCTTGGGGGGCATCGTGGGTGCCTCGGGGATCCTCTTGAAGCCTCTTGGAGGCCTCTTGGGAGCCTCTTGGAGGGCGTCTCGGTTTCTGAACGTTCCCGTCGTTTTTGTGTTGTCTTGAGACCGATCGTTTTGAAAGGCTTCGCTGAACATCGTTGCCCACAACCGCGGTGGTTTGCCCAAGACCATCCTTTGATCTCCCTCCTTCAACCTCGGTGCCCCACCCTTTTTTCCGTTCCTCTATCTCTCTGTCTTTGTCTCTTCTCTCTCTCTCTCTGTCTCTCTCTCTCTCTCTCTCTCTGTCTCTGTCTCTGTCTCTCTCTCTCTCTCTCTCTCTCTCTCTCCCGTCCTCCTCCTTCTCCCGTTCCTCCTCCTCCTGGGGGCTTAGAAAACTTGGCCAGGCGTTGGTGTTTCTGGTTTTTCTGGTCTGGGAGCTCAGAAAACCTGGCCAGGCGTTGGTTTTTCTGGTTTTTCTGGTTTGGGAGCTCAGAAAACCTGGCCAGACGTTGGTTTTTCTGGTTTTTGTAGTCTGGGAGCTCGGAAACCATGGCCAGGCGTTGGTTGTTCTGGTTTTTCTGGTCTGGGGGCTCAGAAAACGTGGCCAGGCGTTGGTTGTTCTGGTTTTTCTGGTCTGGGGGCTCAGAAAACGTGGCCAGGCGTTGGTTTTTCTGGTTTTTTCTGGTCAGGGAGCCCACAACACCTGGCCTGGAGGTTGGGGGCTTGCGAACTACTGCCGTCAGACCAGAAAAAACCATAAAAACCAACGCCTGGCCAGGTTTTCTGAGCCCTCAGACCAGAAAAACCAGAAAAACCAACGCCTGGCCAGGTTTTGTGGGCTCCCAGACCAGAAAAACCAGAAAAAACGACGCCTGGCCAGGTTCTGTGAGCTCCCAGACCAGAAAAAAAAACGCCTGGCCAGGTTAGCGGGAGCTTGCAGGCGAGGGCGGGGCGAGGACAATCCTGGCGAGGAAGGGGCGAGGAAGCGGCGAGGAGAGACAGACAACTCGAAGGTTCATCTCAGAACCCGCCAAAAGGTAGATCTTCGGGGGGTGCGACCATGTAGTTCACACCGTGCCCTGTTCCAGTCATCCCTCCTCCTCCTCCCTTCTTCCTCGTTATCTTCCTTCCCCTCCGTTGCCCCCCTTCCTCATGTGTCCCACTTGCGTCGTGTGCCCGTGGTGAATGTGAAGCACAGATGAAACGCAGCTATTGCACGGAGTATTTTAAGTTACCACCGCCCCCAAACTACAGTTGACGGGAGAGAAGGCGGGGCGTAACGCTCCAGATAACATAGGGGCGAAATGCTCCAGCCAGGTGCGGGGCGAAATGTTCCAGGGGGGCGGAATGCTCCACATCACGTAAGGGCGAAATGCTCCAGCCAGATCCGGGGCGAAATGCTCCAAGGGGCGTAATGCTCCAGATCACGTAGGGGCGAAATGCTCCAGATCACGTGGGGGCGAGATGCTCCAGCCAGATACGGGGCGAAATGCTCCAGGGGGCGTAAAGCTCACACCAGTCGGAAGCGAAACAATCCCAGGCAAACAACAGACGAAATGCTCCAGAGGAGCGCAGCACGACTGTTTGATCCTTATCCTGGTCCTCCTCCGCTTCCGCGGTTCGTCCCTCTGCCCTGCTCCGCTGCCGTGGAAGTTCTGGCTATGTAGCAGCGTGGAAAGGTTCCATGTGGGAATGTGGCTCTGGCATTTCGCTGCGACAGATCGTTGGGCTGATCGTGTGCTTCTCCGAAGGTATCGCGGCTACTCCAGCGTCGCAGCTGTGCGGAGTGGGCGAGAAGTGTGTCTTCCGCTGGTACGGCAAGTTCAGGGCCTGCATCGTCGCGAAGATGGAGAAACTCCAGAAGTCTTTCGGCAAGCAGGGCGGGAAGGGCATCGTCGTGGAGGTCGACGAAGCGTCCGTGGCGAGTGGCAGCGCAGGCCCGCCCCCCAAGAAAGGAGCGCCCGCGTTCTCGTACACGCGCATCATAGCTTTGCTGGTTCGCGGGTCCCGTAACATCGTGATCGAGCAGCTGCCCATCAGGAAGCAGAGGTACAGGATCAAGGGGTCGCAGAAGACGATGAGCGGGGGGGCAATCAAGTTCGACGGCAAGAGGTTGGTGCCACCTGGCCCGCCAGCTCTGTCAATCCCAGAGGGGAAGAAGTTCTTGACTAAGCACTTCAAGTCTGGC